CAATCCCGGTCTCCCTGCTACAGGAAGGATGTTGTGAGACTTGAAAGGGTTCAGAAAAGATTTACAAGGATGTTGGAGGGTTTGAGCTACAGGGAGAGGCTGGGGCTATTCTCCCCGGAGTGTCAGAGGCTGAGGGGGTGACCTTATAGGGGTTTATAAAATCATGAGGGGCATGGATAGGGTGAATAGACAAGGTCTTCCCCCCCCCAGGGGATAAGGGGAGTCCCAACTATAGGGGCATAGGTTTAAGGTGGGAGGGGGAAAGATTTAAAAGGGACCTGAGGGGTAACATTTTCACACAGAGGGTGGTGCGTGTATGGAACGAGCTGCCAGAGGATGTGGATGGGGACTGGTACAGTTACAGCATTTAAAAGGCATCTGGATGGGGACACGGATAGGAACGGGTTTAGAGGGATAGGGGACTAATGCTGGCAAATGGGACCAGATTAATTTAGGATATCTGGACCGGCACGGACGGGTTGGGCCGAAGGGTCTGTTTCCGCGCCTTACATCTCTATGACTCACTAATATGTGAATAAGTACACGGCTGGGAAAGGTTTAGAGGGATATGGGCCAAATGCTGGCAAATGGCGCTGGTACAGTTGTATGGCATGGAGGGGATGGGCCGAAGGGTCTGTTCCAGCACTGTGTGACTGAGTTCCACCCGATTTATTTTTAATCTTCCGGCTGCCTGTTCTTTCCATCACCTCCCCCCAGGGCACGCAAATCCCGGGATTCCTACAAAAACCCGTCCCAGATGCCGAAGGAGCCAGACATCAGGGACATGAAGATCTACATCGACAAGAAATACGAGACGGTCATTCTGCCCGTGTTTGGCATTGCCACGCCTTTCCACATCGCCACCATCAAGGTACGCCCACTCTTGTGTCTCCCAGCCTGGCCCCTCGGTCGGCGTGTTATCGCTGTGGGCCCTGGGGGGGGTGGTGGTCAGTCAGGCCTTGGTCTCAGCAGATTGCTCCCCCCCGCCCCACCAACTCCCCTGGCCAGTCTGACCCCGCTCTGTGTCCAGTTATAGCCTGCCTGACCCACCGTGGGATTGTTGGGAGATCCGGGGTGGGGGCTGGGGTTTGGTGATGGTTTTGGGGTGGAGGGGTGGGAGACAGCGTCCGTCGGGATGCGGTGCCTGGGCTGGTGGTCAGGGGGGGTGTCCCAGGAATGTCACAGTGTTTCCCAACTCTGCTGTCCATCCCGTCCCATCCTGTCCGCGCAGCGGTCGGGAGTGCCGCGCTGGGCCAGTCTCGGGGTCAGTGGCCCAGGTAGCTGTGGGTCAGCAGTGACGTCCAGGCCCCATCCTCATGTTTGGTGGGGTTTTTGTTTTGTTTTTGTGCAGCGATAGTGGGCCCGTGGCCTCCAGTGGGATCGTCATTCCGTTCCCAGGCACGTCAACTGGATTCGGGATTCCCTGGTGGGGTTTCAACCTGTGTGTCGTCCCCCCCATCCCCGAGCGACGGCCCGGGTCTCCCACTGTCCCACCCAGTGATGGGTCCCTTTATGTTCAATGGTGTTACCGTCACTGTATCTCTCCCCCCCCCCCCACTCCCCCGACAATCAACATCCTGGGGGTTACCATTGACCAGAAACTGAGCCGGACCCAGCCCCATGTAAACACAGGGGCTACAGGAGCAGGTCAGAGGCTGGGAATCCTGCAGCGAGTAACTCCCGTCCTGACTCTCCCCCCTGTCCCACCATCGACAAGGCAGGAGGGGAAGGGAATACTCCCCACTTGCCCCTGGATGGGGGGGCAGCACCGACAACACTCGAGAAGCTCGACACCATCCAGGGACAAAGCAGCTCCCCGCCCCCACCCCCACGCCCCTCCCACTCAATGGGCACCACATCCACAAACATCCCCCCCCACCCTCCCCCAACCACCGACGCTCAGCTGCAGCAGTGTGTACCATCTATGGAGCAGGGAGGGGAATGGGGAGGGGGGAGGGTGATATGGGGGAGGAGGGGTGAGGGGGACGGGGACGCGGTGGGGGATTGTGTTGAAGCTGCAGGCTTTCAGCCCCGGGCTCACACCCCGCTCCGTCGTTCTCTCTCTGCAGAACATCAGCACCTCGGTGGAGGGGGATTACACCTATCTCCGTATTAACTTCTACTGCCCAGGCAGTGCCCTGGGCCGTAATGAGGGGAATCTCTTCCCCAACCCCGAGGCCACCTTCGTCAAGGAGATGTGAGTAAGCGGGGTCGGGGGGTGGGGGGGCGGCTGGTGGGTGGGGGTGTATTAAGTACGCTCGCAAATGGCCAGGGGATGTTGTGTGGCCATTTTCAGGGAGCTATGGAGTTGAATCCAAAGATCGCTCAACATCAGTGCTGTTCTGAGTCCTGCCAGTAACTGTATGTGTATACATGGTGCCTGGTAGTTGCTGCTCAACCCCTTGAGGCTTCTCTGTTGATCTGTTTCGGGTTGGAATGGCGCGTTCTCTTTCGCCACCATCTATCTCATGCGCACAGACAGACGCACACGCACACACAGACCCGCGCGCACATGCAGACAGACACACGCACAAAGACAGCCAGACAGACACACGAACGCTCACAGGCAGGCAGGCGCACGCAGACAGAGGTGTGCGCAGGTTCTGAGGCTCCTTCTGTCAGATGCGCAATCACTCGCTTGCTCGCTCATTCTCTCAGTCGCCTGCACGGGCGAAAAGCCAGGAAAGCTGGGCTTGGGGACAGTTGGCTCAGTCACGGGAATAGCGGTGCTCCCGCTCCGATCGGCTCCGATACCGCGGAGCAGGGAGACACCAGTCCGCAGTCTCTCTCTCCGGGCCCCTGGTGCGCTGTGAAGTTGCGGGGCTCCCAGGGTCTCGGCTAACCGTCTGTCCCACCTCCCTCTCCCCTCTCCCCTCCCACCGAACTCCGCACGCAGAACGTACCGAGCCTCCAACCTGAAGACACCGGGAGAGCAGCTGGTCCCAGCTACCAACCTGCAGAATGCATTCCGTATCATCAAGGAGGTTCAGAAACGCTACAAAACCCGGGAAGCAGAGGAGAAGGAGAAGGAGGTGAGAGCGGGGGACAGAGGCATTGTGCGGGGGTTGGGGGGGGGGGTGGGGATCAGGGAGAGGGAGTGGGGGAAGCAACGGCCTAGTGGTATTATCGCTGGATTGTTAATCCAGAGGCCCCCAGGTAACGTTCTGGGGTTCGAATCCCATCTTGGCAGATGGTGGAATTTGAATCCAATAAAATATCTGGAATAAAGAGTCTAATGATGACCGTGAATCTATTGTCAATTGTTGGGAAACACCCACCTAGTTCACTCATGTCCTTTAGGGAAGGAAACTGCCATCCTTACTAGGCCTGGCCTACATGTGACTCCAGACCCACAACAATGGGGTTGACTCCTAACTGCCCTCTGGGCAATTAGGGATGAGCAATAAATGCTGCCTAGCCAATGATGCCCTCATCCCGTGAATGAACAGAGGCTCTGAACCCCTGGCTGGGATTTACTGTAAAACACACCGACCTGGTCTACTCAGCTTGCCCCATGTCAACAGTCACGCTGCAGTTACACTCAGCGGCCAGGGGTGGAGCATCTTCACCCAGGCATTTGCTCTCCAGCTCACAGAAGCCCAGTGGGTTCTTCCCAGACCACAGTACAGGCAACTGGCCAGGCTCAGTACACAGAACTCTGGGAGCGCCGCGCGGTCGGAGGGTCAGCGCCGAGGGAGCGCCGCGCGGTCGGAGGGTCAGCGTGGAGGGAGCGGGCACTGTGGGAGGGTCAGCGCTGAGGGAGCGCCGCGCTGTCGGAGGGTCCGCGCAGGGCACTGTCATGTGGAATTTCACATGCCCTATCTTGGTACATGAGGTGGGTTAGGATGTGTTAATGACAGTGTCTCTCTGTCTCCCCCGGCTCTCTCCCCGCTGTCCCTAGGGTATCGTTAAACAAGACTCCCTCATTATTAACCTGAACCGGAGCAATCCCAAACTGAAGGATCTCTACATCCGCCCCAACATTGCTCAGAAGAGGATGCAGGGTTCCCTGGAGGCTCATGTGAACGGTGAGTCTCACTGCAATTGGGAAGGAACGCGGCAACTGGGGAAGGCCATTCAGCACCCCCCCCCCGGCCCACCCTTTTACACGGGGGCAGGAGGCCATTCAGCCCCCTCCTCCTCCTCCAGCCTGTTACACAGGAGCAGGAGGCCATTCACCTCCCCATCTCGGTCTAACCTCTCTGCTTCCTCCCCAGGTTTCCGGTTCACGTCAGTTCGAGGGGATAAGGTTGACATCTTGTACAACAATATCAAACACTCCATCTTTCAGCCGTGCGATGGTGAAATGATCATTGTTCTACATTTCCATCTCAAGGTGGGTGTCCTGTGAGTGACCCATAGCTATGCACACGTGGTTCTGACTGAATGGGCCAGTATTTATCAGGCAGGTTCGTGATGCCAGAGATAACAGCTCGGAGCCGATCTCAGGCTGAGAGAATGTGTGTGTGTGAGAGAGTGTGTGTGTCTGTGTGGTGCCCTCCCTCCCTCTCTCTGTCACGCTCCCCTCCGTACCCTGACCTCTTGTTCCTCTCCCTTCCCAGAATGCCATCATGTTTGGGAAGAGGCGGCACACAGACGTCCAGTTTTACACAGAAGTGGGAGAGATCACCACAGACCTCGGGAAACACCAGCACATGCACGACAGGGACGATCTGTACGCAGAACAGGTAACAGTGTACATCTGGGCTGGTCTGTCTGTCTCTCTGTCCTACACCCCTCTCTCTGTCTCTGTCTCTCTGTCCTACACCCCTCTGTCTCACTGTCTCTGTCTATGTCTCTCTCTGTGCTACACCCCTCTCTCTCACTGTCTCTGTCTGTGTCTCTCTCTGTCCTACACCCCTCCCTGTCTCTGTCTCTGTCTGTCTGTCTGTTTCTCTGTCCTACACACCTCTCTGTCTCTCTCTATCTCTGTCTGTTTCTCTATCCTACACCCCTCTCTCTCTCTGTCTCAGTGTGTCTGTCTCTCTGTCCTACACCCCTCCCTCTCTGTCTCTGTCTGTTTCTCTATCCTACACCCCTCCCTCTCTGTCTCTGTCTCTCTCTCTCTCTTTCTCTCCGCCTCTCCCTCCTCCCTCTCGCTCCCTCTCCCCCAGGTCAGTCGGGGGGGCGGGGTGGTGGTGGGGTGGTTGGGGGCGGGGAGTGAGGAGGTACCCGGCCTGTATCCTCCGAGGGAGGGTCACTGGGAATGTTGCTCGGAGTGTCCCATGAAGGAGTGAAGTCACAGGGAGGTTCAATAGGGGAGGAATTATTAACGGGTTGAGGATCCCAAGGGGGTGCCGTGGATGAGGAGCTGAGGCCTGGCGATGATCAGCCCTGACCTTTATAG